CTTTGCTGTTTAACAATAATTTTCATTGTCTTTGAAACGGAAAACTTAAGAATTCAGTATTTAAGGATTTCTGTTTCAGAAAACAAACGAGTTAGCCAAAATAAGATGTTGAATTAATTTCTAGTCTTATGAGAAAAGTGACACCTAGAGGCCAAGTTATCCCAGCTGCATCCCTGATGATATTGTGACTACAAGTCATGCAGGCACACTTAAAATGATATTTTAAAAGGTAGAAAAAGATTGCTGGCAGAATAGCTGTGGCAGTATTCAGCTCAGCATGTATTGCAAGTTCTTGAGAAGCTGGTTAAATTTCAAGTAGTTAACCCGTACTATTGTATACTATGCCATTGTAGCTACCCTGCTCGCTACTTCATTCCAAAGCAACTTGGTATGTACAAGCTGCAGTAAAACAGCGTAAACATATCTCACATATTTTACTTTGACTTGCTTTGACTGGCAATTGACACTCTGCTATATATAGCTTTGCTTCCTTCTTTTTTCCCACAAAAGCTACATGCAATTACGGTGAATGTGTGAGTCTATCTCTCTATTCCTCCTTCCTCAGAATTTAGAACTCACTATCCAGTTTCTGGCAGTATCTTTTTTTTTTAGGGATAATATAATTAGGTTTCTACAAATTTTGTGTAAATAAATAGCCAGCAATAGGAAGGAGACCTTTCCATATTTTCCAGATGTATCCTGACTTAAAAATAATGAAAGATTATAACATGGGCTCAGGTGCAGACAGTAGCAAGTTCACACTATGTATAGAAAATTTCACTGAGTTCATAAATGTGTGAAATGTTTCAGTTTGAGCTTAAAACTATGTACAACATACATAGAGCAACCTTCTGTGAGAAGGCAGATTTTATTAGCTATATCCATTCCAAGATCACTAGATTTTAAAGAGATTTGTAATTTGTAAAGTCAGAATTAATGAGGAAATAGTCTAACAAGATGTTTTTCTAATATGCAAAATATTTTGCTGAATATCTCTTTGCCAAAAAAAAAAAAAAAAAAAAAAAGCCCACAATGTCTGTCATTTCTTTCCTCTGTCATATATTAGTTGTTTTAATCATTTTCAGAACTTTATTACACTTTAGTACAAAGAGTGGAAAAAGTGTAGCCTTTACAAAACTGTTGTCATTAAATTCAGTGGAATCAGCTGGTTAGTTTCCATTTGTGAGAACTCCTTCTTCCACTCTATTTTTTTTGCCTAGCTCATTTTGCCTAAGGTGCGTGGTGATTTATAGATACAGCGCTAAACTATTTTTCTCTGGAGCTTTATGTGCTGTTTGGAGTGTGCATTCCTCTTTGGTTTCTGAGACCAAAATATGATTCTTTTTGTGTGTGGTTATGTATCCTGAGGAATTTTAACACCAACACATGTACTTTCAGTCCCACGTGTGCATCTGCCACAATCTCACTCTAAAATAGTTTGAATATCTTTGTACTTAGGATATGAAGTTAAATGTTTATTATTATTATTATTATTATCATTATCATCATTATTATTATTTATCCTGTTTTATAGATACTCCTCAGGAAAGGAGCACTCTTCTGCTTCCTGACAAATGTACTGTCTTTTTCAGGCATTGCCTTTTTACAAACAGAGAACAAACAAAATCGGTATGGTTCAACACAGGCATCCATACCATATAATTAAACTTAACTTCATTTGTTTGAGTAGACATTTGTGAGGCCACAAATACGTAGAATTAAAGAAAAAGATGTAGTATTAAAAATCACTATCTTCTGGAGTGTAATGATAAAAACAACCAGAAAACTGATCAGTATTTTATATAAAATGTTTACCTTTAAAACTCAGTGGCGCACTCATGTCTGGGGGCAGAAGGAGGAAAAAATAAAAGGAAGATTTGAGTTAATAAACAAGAGTTATAATCCCAGAAAAACCAAAGGGGAATTTTAAGAGGATTCAGTCAGTTATATAGGAGAACCCTAGGTCCTGAGATGCTCAACATTGTGGCACCCAGTCTTTTGCTTTAGGAGAGGAATTCATGGTTCCAAGGTCAGTTATTTAGTTATTATTCAGTTATTACTGCCCTTATGTATTAGAGAGAAAAAGTGATTTTGTTACATGCAGCTTACAGGTCCCTTCTGCAGCAGCATGCACGCCATCAGCTTATCTGCAGCAAACCTTTGGATCAGTCTCACTGGAGCTAGAATAAGGAGGGTCAATAGGCAAGTATGAAGAGAAATACAGCACTGATTTTTCATTACTGAGAGTCTGAAAACAAATGTACTTTTTCATGCTGTTGTGTCTTATCTCTGCATTCCTAGCAGTGTTTACAATTTGTGGGAGATGAACAGCAACATTTTACAAACCAGCAGACAACCAAGTATCACACAGGTGGTAAATAGCTTTAGGTAGCATGGCGTACCTTTCCACTTGGGACAATACATACATTAAAATGTATTTCTTTAGTGGAAGCCTATAGGGAATTCAGAGGGGTTTTAATGACGTAAAAAAAAAAAAAAAATATTTTGTTCCCTTCTTTCTAAGTGTGATACTGGTGTTTCAGATGTGGATCCAAGCACACTACCAGTATCAGTTTCCCTTCCAAAAGATATTATTTGCTGGAATTTAAATGATCTAGAGTAAAAAAAAAAAAAAAAAAAAAAAAAGCATACAGATGTATTCAGCACTTTCCAGAGGGATGGCACCTGTACCCCCATTTATTTCATTTTAAATTAAGTCTTCTAATGTGATATCTGCTTCTCATAAGGAGCCCTTAAGATCACGTAAGATGCTCCCTCTGCAGCCCGGCAGAACCGCGTTGTTGGGTGGGGAGGGGGTGGCGTGGCCGTTACGCAGGCCCGCGACCGTTACGGGCCGCGGCGCCATGTTGGCTCCCGCGCGCCCAACGGCTGCTGCGGCCCCGGCAGCCGCCCGCCGGATCGCACCGCCCGCCCTCACTTCCGTGGCGGCGGCGGCGGCGG